CAGTAGCACTACAGAAGCACTGGGAATCTTCTATATGATAAAGTCTATAACAATAATATGCACCTAGTACAATGCATGGTAGAGGCCCCCCCCCCCCGGGGGTAGAAGGACTCCATCTTTGAATGCATCCCCATCTGAACCAGCCCTTACTATTCAAAGCAGACATTGTGGCTTTAAAAGAGGCTCTACTTCAGATTGGCTTCAGTGGATACCAAACACCATGAGTGTTTGCCTCAGAACAAGTGATGTGTATTAAAGGCAGCTCGTCTTCCAGTCACTGGGGTCAAATGGAAAAGGAAGTCCAGAGAATGAGCTCAGGCACCAAGACAATCCTCCAGTTTGTAGAACTCCAAGCCAGTTTCAGGGAAATGGCCCCTCACCCTTCCACCAGCCTGCTGGTCATACCTCCCTTCTCTCCACTAACTTTCCATTAATAAACGATGGTGGGGGATTGTGGTGCTGTGTTTTAAGGAGGTCTAGTTGGGTGTGGTGGCCTGGGGCTACAATTCCAGCATTCATGAGGAGGGGCAAGAGAATCTCCAGTTTGAGCCCAGCAGGAGAAGTTCTCAAAACAAAGGAAAGAAAGGGAGGGGGAATGAGAAAGATAGAAAAGGGGAAATGGGAAGGAAAGCAAAAGAAAGAAATGGGAAAGGGAAGAGACAAGGAGAAAGGGGGAGGGGAAGAGGGGGATGGAAGGGAGGAAGACAAGCATATACCAGGGAAGACAGCACTGCCTCCCCTCAAGCAGCCTTCTAAATGCTTCAGAATAAAATATCACTTTCCTGAGGAAAATGGGTGTGGGGGTGGAGGAGTACAAAGATCTGGCTTTTAAAAGAAAAGGTGGTTGGGGGAGGAGAATTCTTTGCAAGTCTGTGTGTGTGGTAAAGGCGGAGGGGGATGTTGAAAGCAGAGAAAACTCTTCAAATTAGCCTAAAATAGAGTTTATAGATGGATCAACACTTACCTCTCTTGTTGTTACACCACTCCATTGTTGAGGAGTAACAAAGGAACCACTGTCCCTTTAAGCTATTCAGTGCTAGGAGTTCCCAAGTGGAATTTCTCCCCCCACCCCCACCCCCGTGTGTGTGTGTGTGTGTGTGTGTGTGTGTGTGTGTGTGTGTCCAAGTGTACACCAATTTAAAGGAAGGGACACCTCCTCAAGTTAGTGCTGGCTTAATGCCATTCTCACGACTCTAGACTGCATCTTCTTTAGTCTCCGTGACATAGGACATAGACTGTGTCCAAGAACAGGGCCTCTAGGACAAACTGCCTGCACTTTGAGTCCTCTCTCTTCCCACTGTCCTCAAGAATTGAAAAGCAGATTAAAATGTTTACAAGCTTGGAAATGTCCAATACCCTCCCCCCACCCCATCCCCCACACACCTCCAGCTTCTGGAAGCAAAAGCATGTGGACTTGGCTTCAGAATCCTGAGTGGGTACCAAAGGGGAATGTAATCACTACATAGGAAAACTGAGCTTATTCGAAAGCACAAGAGAATTTAGCAAGACTGTGAGTCCAGGAGTGTGGCTTGTCCCTTCCACTCCATGTCCCCATCCCTCTAGAAGCCTTCAGATTGACTTCCCTTTTAGGGAGAGAAACACACACTACAAGCATCAAAACTCTGTGTCCTACATTTCATGTACAGTGCACACACATGCACACACACACACACACACACAATCCCTCTACTTTTTTTTTTAAATCAATAAAAGCAGTGGTCTGTCAAGTCGCTTGTGACTTTTGTTTAAAACTTTCAATCATGAACCTCTAGCTTCATCAGATCTTTATTTTTTTAAAGCCAGAACAATGTTTAGCCAAGATAAAACAAAACAAGACAACACCACCACCACCCCCCAAATGCTTCTTTCCTTCAGCTGCTTTGCAGAAACCAGCTTCCTTGGCTTCCCTGCCACAGCTAACTCTTAGAAAGAACTGAGCGGTGTGCATAGAGAGAAACCAAACCAACCAAGACAAAGGGAGATAGAGGAGGCTTCCTCCCACCCTCGCCTCCCTTCCTACCAGCTGTAAGGGGCCAGCGGTAACTGGTGGCCAGCTGGAGTTTGAGATGGAAGTAAATTAACTGGAAACCTCAAGTCACTGCTGCAGTCAACTGGAAAGAAAGAGTGGATGCCTGAGGGGCTGGGCCCCAGAGCCTGGGCTGCTGCTTGGCTCCCTGCAGAACCTCTTCCCACCACAGCCAACTTGGACGGTGGGGCACAGTGGAGGCCGTAGCGCTCCCAACCCCCAACCCTGTGTTCACATCTTAAGGGCCCTGAGCATAGAGAGAACGCTTTCTAAAGGGTGTGCGACAGGCCCCTCTCCACATGTCTAACCTGAAATAAACAGTCAGCCTTTGGATGTTTTACTCACACATTCTGTCCTACACAGACGTTTTCTATGACTCCCTTACTAAGTCTGTCATCTCCCCCAGCTCCCAGCTGTTGGTGACTGTTATTATCTTGATTCAGAAACAATGTTTTTCATTGTAGTGTGAATATTCTTCCTTTTGTGTTCTGGCTTTCTCAAAGGGCTGCAGAGAGGTTAAAAGTTGACAAGGGGACCGTGGGGAAAGAAGCTTTATTTGTTGCAATAAAGTGTAGTTGCAAAATAGCAAACAAGTAAAGTATCCCCTTTCTCAAAAAAAGAAAGGAAGAAAGAGAGAAAGAAAGAAAGGAAGAAAGAAAGAAAGAAAGAAAGAAAGAAAGAAAGAAAGAAAGAAACAGTGGTTGGGGAGAAGGAAGGGAAGTAGAGAAATGAACCCAGGAGGAGAGAAAGAATTTGATTGGCAGGAGGGAGAGAATGCTGAAACAGAGAAGAGAGAGAAGGAAGAGAAGAAAGAAATACTGGAAGGGAGGGGGTGTTCTTGCCTGTCTACACTTAGGATTAAGCTTCTGTCACTCCAGCAGATAAACTGTTCTTAGCAATCAGTTGCCTCTTTACAGGCCTCAGTCTTGCTAAAAACACAGAAACTAAAATGAGTTGGAAACTTCTGGAGAACTTTGCAAAATGGAGACAATGAAAGGAGATGATTTCCTTTTTTTCCGATGAACCAGGCTATCAGGAATAGGCACCACAAGAATTCCATTAGCCACTCCAACTAATGGGGGAAAACTTTTAAAAATATGCATTCTCTAGGAAACCAAACAGTTCTCATACAGAGGTTGCATTGATCTGTCTCATTAACCTGCACCAGTAAGAAACAAAAGTGTATCCTTGGACCTGTAATTGAATGACTGAAAACAAAACAAAAATTGATTATACCCCCCCCCAAATAAAACAAGGCAATAACCTCCACACCCACCACCACACTCTCTCATTGGAAAAGCTCAGGTCACTATGTCTGTAACATGAAAGGCTGCCAGGCCACTTAAAAGACGCTTTCTTTCCATTCATTGTCGTGCTTGGCAAATCTGGGGCTCCTGACTGTTCTGCAGTCGATAGGTGACTGTAGAAACGCTCATCTCAAATGCAGAGAGACTGCTCCCAGCTCCCTGCTCCCCCCAAGCTAATCAAATTAGAGTTGTCCAAGGAACTGCCTCCGATACCAAATGAGTTCTTCCTAGATTCCTTAGGGGCTTCCTGGCAAAGGGAGGGAAATCAGGAAAAATTTAGGAGACATTAAAGCTCCTGCTAGACAGTCCCAGTATGCACTAAGAAGGCGGCTGTCCCTTCTGTCCTGCCAAGCCAGGGAGATAGGGATGATTTCTCCAAATAGATGATGGAGATGACAATAGTGGTGATGAAAAGGAGGAGGAGGAGGAGGAGGAGGAGGAGGAGGAGGAGGAGGAGGAGCAGGAGCAGCAGCAAGAGCAGGAGCAGCAGCAGCATCTATTTCACCCGGAAGCCGATCTAACACTTTTTTGTGCTCTTCACTTTTATTTGAGATCTCTGATGAGGCCAGCTGACCTGTACGTATTCATTCAAGGCAACAGACGTCTTCAAATTAATTTTTTTTTGTTGCTGTTTTTAATTCGATTTATCCTTTGAAACAGAAAGTGCATTACATTTCACGGGTCTCGCAAAGGGGTTGCCTTTTCATTACAAACCGAATTCCTCGTATAAATTAATAAATGTTAAAGAGGCTAATATATCACCGTTAATAGCTTAAAAAGAAAACAATTTACATATTCTATAGTATTCTTATGATACAAAAACACTTTGAATTCAATTACAGCAACTAAATGGAACTTTTATGTTCTGACCCAGAGCGCTTGTAACAATTCCCACCATTTACTTTTAACACGCATTTTTTTTTTTATCAGAAAGGAGTTAAATTAAATACAAGTTAATTGTAGGCCTTCCCTCCTCAATATTTTTTTGATCACTAATAAATAGCAACAAACGACTGTGCAAATTCGGAGGGGAACCCAAAGGCCAGTGTGAGAAGCGCGTGGGTGACTGGATCTCAGACTGCAAATCCCGGGGCGGGACGGGGGTGGGGGCCTGGGGCTGCCCTGGGGCCCAGCAAAGTCTGGAAACCCGGCAAGAATTGGTGAAGGGGAAAAGCGGTTCAGAAAGATCCAGAGCCGAAAGAGGAGTGAAGTCGGGAGGTGTCTGAGGAAGGCGATGACATTGTTTTCTAAGATTTTCAAATTAATATGAAAGGCGGCAAAGTAGTGTGAATACCTCAAACCAACGAGAGTAAAGGTTCATCTCTTTATACCAAATTCCAAAACGCATTTTACATTTTAAATATTCACAATAAAGTAACTTCTAGTCAGTGTGACTCACGATTTATTTACATAGAGCCTTCAACAGGTTACTTGGTTGGCAGAGCAGTTGGGGGTAGGGGGAAGTGTCTCTTTCTCCCTAGGTGGCAGCTGCCCTCGGTGGCTCGGAGATTCCCACCAGGCGGTGGCTGACGACCTTTCGGAAACACTGCCGGGTGCTCAGGGAACTCAATGCAAAGGACCGAGCCTGGATGGGGGACGCCTGACATCGCGGGTGGGAAGGGTCCTGGGGAGCCTCGGGGATGCGGGTTCGGCTGCGGGTTTTTTACGCAGTGCACTTGGCGGGCTCCTTTCCTCTTCATCAACGCGCCATTCTACTGACCCCCGCCCTCCCCGCCACAATTTCTAGGTTAAAAAAATAGATATGTACATCTTAGAAAATAGTGAAGGCCCAGCGAGCAGCCGGGTGCTGGGTCCCGGGGAACCGGCTGTGGGGCGGGGCGGGATCCCAGTGGTGCGGCCCGCGCTCAGGATGAGCCCTCGGCCTCCGACGCGTGCAGCAGGAGGCTGCCGCCGCTCGATTTGTGCTTTTTCAGCAGCTGAGTGATTTTCTCGTCGTCAGAGTTCGGGTCCAGGGGCTTGTTGTAATCGTCGTCATCCTCCTCGTTCTCCGAAGTTCCCTTGAGCCGCTCGGTCTCCGAGTCCTGCTTCTTCTTGGCCGTGGCCATCTCGGCTGCGTGCTTCTTTCTCCACTTGGTCCGGCGGTTCTGGAACCAGACCTGAGAGCCGAGAGAAGGAAGGGGAGGGGAGAAGCAGGGCCGGACAGCTGAGTGCTGGAAGACCCGGGCCCCTTCCTTGCCACCGTCCCTCGCGGGCCTCCCGGGTCCAGACGTCAAAGTCAGTCTAACGGGCTCACCGCCGTTGCCATAGCGATAGTAACACAAGCTCACTGAGGCCATCAGTAAACCATTTCTCGGAAAGAGTGAAAACAAGACTTGGCCCAAGTTTCCCTAAAAATAAACTTGCTCTTCTTACGTCCCTACTGGAAAGGAAACCTTGCTTAATTTTCCCGTAGTGATTTTTAGTCCTTAATTGTATTCGTAGATTAAGAAGTTTAAAACAACTACAGTGTGTGATTTGTACGGAAAAGCGAAGCATTAAAGCCATTTCTTTTCCACTCTGTTTCTCACTTTTGGACACTTGACTGTTTTCAGGCCTGAATCCGCACTAACTTCGGTGGTAAATTGCCTCTCCTCTCCAAAAACTTAAAGTGTGTGTGGTCTGAAGTTTTCTGGATATAATAAAAACTTCAATTCACCAATAGCAACAACTGCAGAGGCACGACAATATACAGCTCAGCCAGAATTATCACCACGGTGGGGCAGATGCTTGACCGTCTTTCTCCACCCTCAAGGTTGCTCATAAAACCAAAGCTAAAATATCATCATTTGCTGTTTTTAAATAGAAAAGTTGTGTTATTTTCTATTACAATATTGCCTCTTTTCTTTTTCAAACATTAGCGGCATGTTGCTGCTGCCTAAGACATTTATTTGAAATACAGATATTTTCAACATGTTCATGATGTTTAACATGGGTCTGACACATGTGTTTTAATCTGAAGAATTGTCATAAACAACCATTTTTTTCTGAAGATGCTGAATTGCCTTCCTTTTATGCCTCTCTCATCTGTTATGTATTTTATCTGGAGAATCAGAATTGTTAAGAAAGTGATTTTCTTTATATTGCTATAATAATTCACCTCTGGCCATACAGACATATTTATGGTGACAAATGAACACCCTGGTAGGCTCTCCAGCCACCCACTGCAAAAATAATTTCGAATGTGATGGTTTTCTAAATGCCCAGGTAAAAATCTCGGCTGAAATATATTGTGTGATGCTTGGCTAGCAGGAAAGTAACCCTAAGTGGAAGATTTAATAATATTGCTTTTTAATGAGCAACAATATAACTAAAGAAAGGAGAGAGGGGGGCACCTAAAGAAAGAAATGTAACAACTGAAATGGACAAAGAGAACAGAGAAAACTAGGAAACCAACATACTGAATTTATCCAGCTGGCTCAATCTTATTTTCAGGGACAGATTTCTAAACTCTGGTTCCCTAGAAATGCAATATACAACTCAATTATAAGCAAAGTGACATCTTAATTACAAATTGTTGTCACAAGCTGCAGTATCTTAATTTTGTAGATAAACTTGCTTTAAACAGAATTCAATCTTATTCAATACACTAATAATCTTGTCGGTTCATTTGGAAAATTACTATTCCAAAATAATCATCTTTATCTAAGCCAAAAGCAAGTTTTAGCGATGTTAAGTTCCGATGGATTCATTTTTTTATCTACAAATTACTATACAAGTGCAGTACTGCGGATCCCGGTTAGGGAACTTTATATAGAAAGGGCCTGAATTGACAAACAATAGCTCGAGTGTCTTTACAAATAAAGCAAATCAAGCTTTTTAATCCGCTCGATCTGTTCTCCGAGATATTTCCTTAATGCTTTTATTCTCTGATAAAGGCGTGTTTCCCCAGCACAGGCTGCTGTCCAGATTAGCCTAATTTCTAAGGCGGGGACTTGATATCTTTTGTTCACCAATAGTTTGCCTCCAAAGGACCCCAGGGCCTGTGCAACCCCCAACTCTCTCCCTGCTCCCCACTTCTCCCCAGGCTCCTCAGAAAGCCTTCCACCTCCGCCCAGTTTGTTAGTTTGGTAAGGGGGAAAATACACTCAGACACGTGCGCATGAACCCGCGCGCGCGTGCACGTGCGGAAAAAGCCATCCCTGGAGGTATCAAAGGTCCACTCACCTTGACCTGACTCTCTGTCATCCCCAGAGAATAGGCCAAGCGTGCTCTCTCTGGTCCTGCCAAGTACTTTGTTTGTTCGAAAGTCTTCTCCAGGGCGAAGATTTGCTGGCCAGAGAACGTGGGTCTGGTGTGTTTTCTTTTCCCATCTTTGTCCAGCAAAATGGATCCTTGATCTGCGAGGACCGATAACAAGAGGAAGGAAAAAACAACCTGTTACAGTGCTCCACCGGAGGCGAGAGAGGGGAGCGAATTAGCAAAACTGTGCTTTGATAGCAAAAGAATGGCGATCTGTGGCCTGCGTCACCCTGCCACCCTGCGCTGCCTTTTGCCAGCTACTTTTCTCTGACCCAGGTGCGGTTGGGGTAGCAGTAAATATTTAGTGCTTAACCGCAGTGCCAAATAGCTAGAGAGGCCACTGCTGAAGAGTACAGGGCAGACACGGGACACCCTCTTAAACTAAGCAGGAAGGCTTGAGAAAGGCCACCCTCACCTCTCGCGCCAGTCCCTGGGCAGATGGAAGTGGTTTGGTACGAAGGTAAACTAACTTTTTAAATTTTACATTTTGTTTTGTTTTCCTTGGCCACTTCCCTAACCTGTGTTGAGCAATAAAGGGCTCCTTGTGCTTTGCGCACTTAAGAGCTAACTGGTCCCTAGTTTGAGGCCATTACGGGCTAGAGGAAGAGACCAGAGGAGACTCAGGTCTGACGACCCTTACAATCAACACCGATACAATAGTGTCTCTCCCACATCTCAATAGCCCTGAGGAGTCGCCTTCCCACATAGAGCCTGCAGACATAGTTTCCTGTTAAGTTACTGCTGCTAAGTCTCAGGCAAGGAAGGCCAGCGACCTGGACTGACTTCAGGGACTTGGTCATCAGCAGAAAACAGAGTGAGGAAGGGAGTTAAGGCGGGCCTTGGATGCCATCTGGGAGCTAGGAGCCTTCTAGGAGCTGTGGCCCACGAGCCAGAATTGTCCAGACCTTGGGACAGCTGAGTTGACCCAGAGTCTTTGGGGGCCACATTTTACTAGACTGTGTCCTGTGGCATGAATATCTCTCCCCCTCTCATCTTTTGAGTTAGCCTGTTGAAGAGCCAAAATGCCTCTTCAGTGTCCAGGACCCTGGGATCCAGGAGTATGGAAAACCCAAGTCCATCAACGACCAGTGGCCCAAAGCATCTGACCCAGTTCTGGAAACTGCTTGCGCGGCTCGGCTCGGTTAGCTCTGGACAACTGCACTGGGAGTGGGCGAGGGAGTGGCAAAAATGGTGAGCTGGAGATGACCAGGGAGAACGCGTGAGAGCAAACGTCTGTTTTTCCCGAGGAGGTAGGTAGCTAGCTGCCTTGCCTACTCTCACAGGTTTGCGGAAAACACGGGTCAGGCTACTGAAGGAAAAGCATGACAGGAAAGAGCAAGAAAGGAAGCGGTGCGGAGGCCTTTCCCAGCTTTCCATCCGTCTGACCCAGAGCTGGTCAGTTTCAGGAAGAGCCCAGACAGAAGCTCGCCCGCTGCGCTGTGTTCTGTCCAGACACATGCTCGCTGAGGCCAGGCCTGCCTGAGCCTTGGCGAGCCCAGGAAAGCGCGAGTCCCTCGCTCGACTGCCAGGCTCAGCCAACAACGTGCTGTCCCGGCACTTCCAAACTAGTGTGCGGGCCAGGAGGACTGACGACCGGCGGGCACTGTGGGCTTCACGACCCTAGACCAGACTTAGAAGGTAGGGACCCGCCGCCCCCCATAGTACTCACGGGGGGTACAGGCAAGGCGCGCGTCCCTCCAAGGTGGGCTCTGCATCACCCCGGGCCAGAAGATGGGCGTCCGACCGGGCAGCTCGGCCAGGGGCTTGGGGTACCGGCCCACAGCGGCCACAGCCGCGGCGCTGGGGCTAAAGTAGAGCCCGGGCGGCGGTGGCGGAGGACTCAGGCTGCTGAAGCGGGGCAGGCCGGCCAACAGCCCGGCGGGCGACGAGGCGGCAGCGGCGGCAGCCGCGGCAGCGGCAGCGGCGGCCGCAGAGGCCGAGGTGGCGGAGGCGGACGAGGAGGAGGAGGAGGAGGAAGACCCCGAGGGCGAGGCAGAGGGCAGGGCGGCCCCCGAGGCCACCGGCATGGAGGGCCGGCTCAGGATGTCGTTGATGCCGTGAGGGGTAGCTGCCGAGAGCTGCTGCGGGGGGCTGCCCAGGGACGAGAGGCCCCCCGCGGCCGAGGGCTTCAAGCTGCCCGGGTTGTGGGCGCCCAAAGGTGGGGAGGGCGACGAGGACGAGGAGGACGAGGACGAGGAGGAGGGGGGCCCGGTGGGCAGTGGGGGATAGGCGGCGGGGTAGAGCGGGGTCTTCATCTCGGCCATGCTGTGCAGAGCGGCCAAAGGCGGGCTGCTGAGCAGGAATGCGCTCTGCCGGGGGCCCTCCATCGCCCCCACAGTTAACATCCCACAGCCAGACCCGAACCCTCAGCCACGCAGGCCGGTGGCCCCGCCGGCACTGGGGAGAGCCCGAGGTGCTGGGGGCGCGCGCAAGGGAAGCGAGGCTGGGCCGCGGGCTCTGGGAGTTACGGTGCGAGCTGCGCAGCAGAAATGTCCAAACGCCCCGCAGGAGGCGGCGGCAGGCGAGGGCGGCGGGGACGTGGGCGGGATCGGCGCTTCCTCGGCTCCGGGAGTCCGGGATTCGATCCCGGGCGCTGGTCCCTCGCTCCCGGCTCAGAGTGCTCCGCTTCTCATCTTCTGCACCTTCTCGGGAAATCAGTAAGCCGTACCGGGGGCCAGCCCCGAGAGTTTGCAACAAGGTTGGGAGGCTCGGAGCGTTGGCTTTGATGTAGCAGGGTGGGGGTGGGCTCGCTCGCCTAGGGGAGCTTCAAAGCGGGCCGCGTTCCGCCCGGTGCGCGCCTCTGATCTCGCTCTCTCGGAGGCTCGGCGCTCTTGGCGGCCCCGAGCAGCCGAGTCGCACTCGCCGCTCGCCCGGGAGACGGAGCGCAAACGGCCCGCGCGGGGGGATCGCGCCCGCCACCGCCGCGGGCCCGGCGTTATTGCGCCAGAAAGGGCAGTGGCACCGCTCCGGGGCGACTGGGGACTTGGCGCGCCCACGCGCCTGCTTTCCCTCGGGCCACGCGGCGCCGGAGGAGCCGGATCGAAAAGGAAGAAAGAGAAAATAAACCTAAGTGTGAAAAGTCTGGCGGGCCGGTTCCGATCGTCCGTCCGCTTCTGCAAGCCGGCCCAGAGACCCTCGCCCCACCCCCGGCGCCCTCTCTTCCTCTCACTCTCCGCCCTTCTCTAGCCTCTCTGGCATATCTCCTTGGCTTTCCAGTCTTGGCTTGTCCGAGCCCTGTCCTCTGGCCAAACTGACCCTCTCGGCGGCTCTTCCCTTCTTTCCTCTCTCCCTCCGGGCCTGACAGTTCGGATGAAGCTCTCAAAGGTAATAAAACATTTGCACCCCTCCCTGCCGCTCTTTAGCTGGGGGACGCAAGGGAGGGGAGGTGGGGGCCCAAAATGAGAACTTTCGAGGACGTCACTCCCGGGCGGCTCGGTGGGGCGGGACTGAGGAGCGGGGCGCAGGTTCTGGGCGTAACCACTGCCTCCAATAGCGCTCAGCCTCGGCAAGGCGTCGCTCCTGGGACACGCCCACCTTGGAGCGCCACGCCTTTTGATTGGCTGAGACTTGGGAGCCGTAAGGGCGCGCCCGCCTAGTCCCCGCCCAGCTTCCCTTGGGCGGAGCCAAGAGGGGAGGGACCTGGCGAAAAGAGTGATTCCAGTCTAGGGCCCCCGGCCGGCTCAATTAATTGTGCAAAATAAAATGGAAAGGAGAAGGAGGGAGCAGAGACGGAGAGGGCATTACTTTTTAAAGAGAGGAATAATGAAAAGCCAGCCCTTTTATGGAAAAGCAGTTTAAGTTCGTCTCTTCCGCCCACGCCAGCTCGCGTCATCCTCCCACACTTCCCCCACTAGCTCCCGGCGCCTCACCTCGAACGGTGTCTGGACCCTTGCGAAAAGGGAGCTAATGGAGCAGGCAGGAGGCACATCCCAGGCCGGGTTCCTTCTTTTGAAGGGATTAATTAAAAGGCCATCTGGGCTCTTCCAGAATTGTGTAAATTGATTTGTTGCTCCTTAAGCCTGTAGATGTTTTTAAATCCCCTCGCAGGCCTAAGGGTCATCCTTTTCCATCTTTCCGTCTCCTGCTCTTTTCTGTTCTTTCTCCGTTCTTGTTTTCACTCTCCCTCCCCCTAGATCATTATCACTTGTGAGGAGGCTCAGTACTCTGGGGACGAAATCAGCTTAATGAGAGTATTTATCTCCTGCGTGGTGTCTTAACACTAAGAGAAATGAGATAATTATTTTTTAAAAATTCCTCCCTCTATTATTATTAGTTGGATTTTCACGAGGCAGGATCACTAAAATTCACTCGACAACTCTAGATAGAGGAATACCTCGGGGAGACAGGAAACTGTTGGAAAGTCTGGTCAAGCTCTCAGCTCCGGGTAGCTGAGTAAGCTAGAGTCGACCAACTTCTAGGCTGGGATTGGGAGCGATGGTCAAAAGGGCTTTGCTCCCTCTGGCTGATCTTTAAGGTCTGTCTGGTCAGAGTTGACCTAAACTGAGGAGAAAAAACATCGATCTTGAGAAATCAGGCAGTTGATATATCAGTGTGGGGGGCGGGAAGTCTCACAGCAGAGATTTGCATCATATCATTGAGTCCGAATTCAAGGTTCAGAAAACAGAAACAGATGCATCAAATGAGCCAAGCATAAAAATTGAACAGCTCCAGGGAGTTTAACTCTGAGTGTCAAGGCGCTTTAAGGCCTTAATCCTGACCCTTTACCTCTCCTAACCTTGAGTCTTTTAAGGGTGTCAAACTGAGGTTGAGTTTGAGGTGTGAGAGCAAAGTCTAGGGGTTAGTCATCTTCTGCTCCTTTCATTCACTCACGGGGGGAGGGGGGGAGATGATATTTGTCTTCCTCTATTTGCCCACCTTTATTAACTTCAAGACTTGGTTAATGCCATCATTCCGTAGAGTTTAGGATCTGACCCTAGGAAAGGTGGGGTTCTGCGTGGGTGGGAGATATGCTAAGCAACCTGCCAGCCTCTAGGCTCTGTGGAGAGCTAAGTGGGTGCTGTCTGCATTTCCACGCCAGGCCCGCCTCTGCTACCTAAACCCGAGAAAAAGTCAGCCAATTTCGTGGAGCGGACAGCGGCGGGCCAGCTCTGTTTCTGCCGCTGGAATTTCAATGCCTCTGGCTTCCTCACAAACTACTCCCACTCCGACCCAGCATTTCCTCCGTGGACCACGATCAGCCAGCAGTCGAATTTTGGGCCTCCTGCGATCTGCTCAGGTTCACCAGGAAAGGGACTAGGTAGGAACTGAGAAAACCGAAGCTACTAGCATTAGAAGTTCTCTCCTCAAAAGTTGTAGTTACTGTAATCGTGAAAGGGTTGGTAGTTACAGAATTGATCGTTTCTCTATTGAGAATTTGGTATCTGGCATTGGGGAGGGGGTTTCAAAAAAGAAAACAGACCGGAAAGAGAGACAGAGCCACAGAAGCAGAGCCACAGAAGCGGAGCCACAGGGAAAGACACAGAGAGGGACAGAGAGACAGAAACACAGAGAGACAGACAAGGAAAAAGACAGAGACAGAGAAAGTGAAGAACAGAGAGGGGGAAGGAGGGGGACGAGAGAGAGAGAGAGAGAGAGAGAGAGAGAGAGAGAGAGAGAGAGAGTCAACTCCAACTTAACTATGCTCCGTAGTTACAAAGCTGGGTTTGAAATGAGGAAGTCTCATCCGTTGAGTCTCTGTCATTCATAATCTATAATTAAAAATAGTATGATTCTCAATTCTAACAATAAAAAGCTATGAGGACGGTGTACCTCGATCCTTGAGGGGTGAAGCCGGCTGTCTATATTCTTCAGCTGCAGCGGCAGCCTGTTTTCCCGACTTATTCCGTCCGCCTCTGAAAAAAGCGGGTGTCTCTAGCCAGGTGCCCTCTGGGGTCTGCCCCCAGGATCCCAGGAGAGGGAGCTGCTGGGCTCAGTCGGGTAGAGGTCACCCTGCCCTCCACTCTTTGGGCCCGGGATCCCGGGTGGGCGAGCTGCTGTAGATGTGCCAGGGCCTGCCTTGTGGGCTCAGTGTTCGCTGCTTTCAAATGCTCTTGGGGCTCCTGGTTGTTTTTCCTTGGGAACCTCCCTAGACCTCCCAACTCTTGCATACACTTCCTGATAAAGCCGGGGCTTTCCAAACGAGTAGCAGACTAAGCAAACCTCTCTCAACACTATGCTTCTATATGTATACAGCTATATATTGGAGATGGCAGGGCTGTGTGCTTGAAAGCGAATGATTTGCATTTTAATTAAAAATAAATGAAAGCTGTTTGGCAAATCCGGTTGCCGGAGGAATTCACAGGGCAGCAGTGAGGAAGGTGGTGCACCCCTTGGATTTTGAGCCTAGGGGAGAGTGGCGCTTCATCGTCAGGTTCCTATTGCAGCCTGCTCCTGGGATCTACAGCTTGCAGGATACACTGGGCTCTGTACTCTCCCTTGACCTTTGATGCAGCACGCCACGCAATAGATACTTCTACTTTAAAAGAAAGGAGCCATCATTAAATCCAGGGTGATACTGGATTAATGCGAACAAAACCTTAGCTAACTGTACTTAGGCTCGGCAAAGATGCCACTGTTCTGCTCCGAGTATATTAGTGAGGAATGCCGAGGTGTTCGAGGGCTCTGTAGAAAGGCCATTGCTACAAAAAGAAGGAGAGGGATTATGTCGTTACCTCAAACCAAACAACAATAAAACCCACACATACTAATCAACAAAAAGTCTCTTCTGAACTTGCTTTGTCGAACCCTCTAGAAGACTTTAACCACTCCGTTTCGCTGAGCGTTGGGACCTATTCGGGATGAATACGAGAAAGATTAGTTTTAAGTCAATGTTAACAAAGTAGGTCTAGCTAGTTGCTACACAGAAATACAAGGAAGACTCAAGAACGTCCCCCAGGATGGCTTAGCTTGGTCTCCGGAGCAGACAGGGGGAAGAGAAACCATGCGTGGATCTCTTTGCTGTGGCTAAGTGATGTGAGGTGGGAACCCGACCTGGACCGATGTCCTGCCAAAGGTGAAGAAGGCAACTAGGAAAAGAAGAACTAGAACTGGGTCAACCCACGCCACGCGGGACAGCGAAGGTCCTTGGGGACTTTCCATTCCGTGCTCCTCTGTAAGGACGCGCCACCAGAAGTACTGTGAGTTTTTCTATCAAAAAACACCAGAGCCCTCTCCAGGACTTACAGCCTCCCTGGGGACAACTCTCCCAGCAGCCCAGCACCTCTGCAAAACAGCTATAGCAGGCGCAACCAGAACTGGAGCGCCCCAACAGAGGATTTCAAAAGGCCCCAGAAAGTTGAGAAAGGGCAAACGTAAAATATCTAGAAGTATCTGCGACAGAGTAGATTTACATAGGACTGCAACGAAAATCACCCCTCTCCCGGCCCCGAACCTATTTGCAACCCTTGGTTTGCAATCTTGATTTGAAATATATATTCTTGAATATGGGATCAGGTGGAGAATCATATGCTCGAAAAATAAATGTCTATTGGTTTCCAGAGTTAACTCACAGAAGAAAATGCCAGGTCAGTCTGGTGCCGCAGGTTTGATCTGATGTGATCAGCTATGATAGAGAAGCTTACTCGTATAAGGATGAGCAAGGAGCATGCTTTTTTGATAGACTCCATAAACCGGTTTCTCCCGTGGGATTGCGAGCCTTAGTGGGTGGGTGGTGGTTCTTGCGGCCGTCTCCCGGTGCAGCTTTTTCTTTCCTACAGAAGAAGTAAAAAGTTATTCCCTAAGTCGCTCAGCCTACGCGCTCTTGTGAAACCCTGTGCACTTATCGCCCTCTTGTGGAAAATAATTTTTTTGCATTTCTCTAATGCCGAAAGAAGAAAGAGAGGACTTTCCTTTGGGGTTTCAATGGCATACATAGGTGGCCTGTGCTTAACCCTTGTGGTACTCGTTGGCAATTGTTTAATTTCTGTCTGATCTGACAAATTTATTGCATGAAGGATGAGACCATTAGCTCTTGCTTTAATTCAGGTACCAACCGAAAACGAACTATTTATTTAGTTAGTATTTCAAGATACTTTCTTTTTGTAACACTAACTGTCCTGAAACAATTAGGAACGAACATTTCGTACATTCGTATGGACATACGTATGTATTTGGGTTTTTGAGACA